ATATTATATTATATTATACTTTTGTGTGTTTGTTTGTTTGTACGTGTAAACAAAAACCCATAACATTAAAAATATAAGCCATTAGACTGGCTAAAAAATGTTATAACAGCTATTAGTAGAATTTTAATTTCGGCGATTACTAGGGCAGAATTGCTCAGTTCACAAAGATATCATGTATTTTTCCACTAAAGCTCTACACTTATTGTTGAAACTCACAATAGTTTCTTTGTATCTTCACTTGAGGAATAAATTACCAACCTTAAGACGCTATCTAGCGTGGGTTTTTTTAAAAATAATAGTCTCTCAGTATGGACCCATTTTCACAACGAGAGTTCATTTTATACGGGCGGGAGAAGAGTTGTGAGAAAAAACAGTTGGGCAAAGGAATTTGTGGTGGTTTGAGGGGGGGGGGGTGTGAACAGACTGAGGAATCCAACTTACAACAAATAGAACATGAGTAAAGAGTTGATCCTCATCCTTGGTGTTTTAAAAAGATCAAGCATCGTGTACAGTCTCCCGTCTCCGCCATTTTCTCCCGTGATGGACTGAGATTCGTCTGAAGCATGCGAGTTGAAATAAACAATCACAAAATCATGATTTTTGTTACAGGTGTGCATGTTTCTCAACAGGATGAAATATAATTTCATTGCTTTGGCATCTAAATTTATAGCAATTATTGGATTTGTTTATACCTAATGGTTTTTCTACAGTGTAAGAAAACTTTCATTCCAACCCCATCCTACTCCTTTCTTCTCTTCTCTATCATGCATGAAAATGTGTAAAATAATAAAAATGGAAAAAAAATAATGAGAAAAGGGGGGTGGGCAGAAAAAAAGAGAAGTACGTATTACTCTGTAAGTGACATAAGACTAAAGCTGTTATTGTTTGTTGCATTCATCAAAAGACTTATAAAGGGATACGGTATTTTCTTCGGAAGTGCGGACACTGTAACTAGCAGTGTGCCTCAGAGAAAGATAACATTCCTATGTGTCCCTGCAGATCTCTGATTCTATCTCACAACACAAAATTTGTACTGACTTAGCATACCTAGAGGCACAAACTGACAGTAATAAAGAAAATCTTTAAGGTCTCACCTGCACTTACTGGTGCTTTTTGTCCCCCGGTGTTTTTTCTGCAAAATCAGATAAATGAGCGGTCGAGTGAGGAAGACGTAGGGTCAAAAGAAGGCCGAAGAAAGAAGTGAATGAGTGTGACTTGACAATACAGATTGCCACTATGATACAACAATTCCATACAGTGGTTAGCTTCACGTTATAGAGACAGCTTGTTTAAAAACCAAAAAAAACCCTTTTAAGTATTGCTCAGTATGTTGTTGTTGTTTTCAAATCCCTTTAGCCGCGAGCATTTCGCTCTATTGCTCAGTAAAGTAAGTACTTAGGGATTGAATAGGAGTCAAAATCGATAGGCAAGTAACATGACAGAGAGAGAGGGGGG